AGAATATGACTCAAGATGACTAAGTCTGGACCATTGCAGGATTTAACTGTTGACCGTGTGTTTAAAACATATCAGCAAGCCATCAGCTATGACAAAGATTATTTGCACTGTGTAACTTGGAAAGGATGATTGTCTTTATAGTGATGAGATTGTAAGTTTAGGAAAAATATTTATGGATGGCTGCACCCTCCTGGTTCTGAATGACTGGTCCCAGTGACCTTGCTTTGAATTAACACTGTAAAAGATGGGTGTGTATATATGCAGTAAAGGTAACCTCATTAGGTTAACTCCTTCATAACACTAAGAGCCAATTGGTATTCATTTGGTATGTACCAGACAACAAAGAATAAGGGAAGCATTTTTCTGGATCCTTAGTAAGTGCCAGAAAAAAAAAAAAAAAAAAAGGAGCCCAGCCTTTGTGAATCATGTTTCACTGGAGCTGTGCCACTGTACCTATGTTCCTAGAGGCATGGACTTTGATACCACAGATTATTGGTGAAACTGAGTGCATGTGAAGACTTCACTGAGGGGCCAGGTAAATAAAGGAGGAATGTGAGGTGTGTGCTTACCTTTTCAATACACCTCTTTTCAGGCACACTTTTGTCCGATTTACAAACACCAGGATACATTCAAGACAAGCTAACATTGTGTGTAGTGTCAGGCAAGTGCAGGCACTTGGGAAATGCTGATGGGAAAGGTGTAGCAGTTGGCGTCCCTGCCTACACCCAGAAAACACTTACTGCAACTTCCTGGTAAATTGCAGTGAAATGTGAGGCTGGTGTTGCTGCCAGTGCACTTTGCTGGCTCCTGAGCAGGCACACTTCTGCTGCTAACAATCCAGAGACTAAAAGCTGGAAATGTGTAGGATTGTGCCTCTCCTCATCTCTCAACTGAAGCCAGGTTTATACTAGAAGACTTGCATTTAATATTTTGGTAGTTTAGTAATTGCTTTTCTTGCGCTCCTAAAGCCAAAACAGATTGTGATTCCCAGTATTAATTTCCAACCTGCCCTCCCAGCAAACCTTGGATTCTGGGGTCCTCTGTACTCATGGTGGGTATGCACATAGCTTCCTCTCAGCAGTCATGCTACCATGGAAGTTCACACATTACCTGAGCAAGAAAGTAGTGCTGACACTGCTCTTTTGCTTTGTGTTGTCCTTTATGACATCAAAAAAGTCCAGTATTTTTGGACATTCTGTGTAATGGGCTCTTGAGGCCAAGCAAGGACTGCTACTGCCATTTACATACACAAGAATATTACAGCTACATTGCAAAAACATGGCCAGTCTCTGCAGGTTGTGATAAAAGCTTCCACTTATTCACAAGCTAACAAACTAGCTTCAGCTCCTGGAAGTGAATGAACAAATACGACAGTCTTGTTAGTTCAAATCCTGTAGCAGTTCATCTTCCTGCTAGACTCTTTTCACAGCCCTTTTATTGATTTCTAAAGAGAAATCTAGATTTAAATTTCTTAGCCTGTAGAGATTCCACCTCCTCCCTGGTGAGGCTGAGGCATGGCCAGATGAACTCAGGAAACACACTTAATGCTAAGGCACTGTTGCTTGCTTTCTTTTAATTTCATCATATTACTGGTGCTCATCATTAACATTTAGTAATCATGACCCCTCCTAGTTATTTGCATGATAACATTTGCAGCTGAGTTCCTTCCCATAGTAATCATTAATGTAATGTAATGCTATGTAATAAAACTCTTAAGCCTTTGTAATAATTACAGACCTTCTGAACAGTTGTTTTTTAAATGTTCTTTCAACACCACCTAATAGATAAATGCTCTTCTGCTGATTAGATGCAAAGAACTTGACTATTCTTTGAGGCCAAGCTGACCTGGAAACACTAATATCCCCAACTATTTCTCTGCTTTTCTGCTCTCCAATTCTTCTGCCTTTCTGTTTATGCAGCTCCAAATCACTGTGGTGTTTTTGGTTGATTTCATAAACATACATCATATTTATGTTTATTTTGCACAAGAAATACTCTCTCTGACAAATGAATGGGTCTGTGAATTTTCTATTTTTATGGAAAAGCTTAAATTCTGGCTAAATATCTTATGATTACAAGGTACTTTTGAGCATAAACCATATAGAAAAGGGGGCTAATCTGTCATTCTCTGACTTTGAGCAGGGCTCTCCAGCTCTTATGGCAGCAAGCAGTGAGAAGGTCAACCTCCACCTCTCCCCTCCTGGCAGCTGGGAGTTGTAGGGGGAGGATCTTTCAGAAAGACAGGAGGGCTGGGTGCCTGTAGGGACTCTGTCAGCTCTCAGAAGCCTTTAGGAGGAAAAGGAGCTGGGAAAGCCTGACTTGATTGGTGTGGGGATGAGGGAGATCCTTCATGGAAAAGCAGCAATTTCAGTTTTGGCTCTGCAGCAGCCCCTCTGGTGAAAACTCTCCCTGCTGGTGGGGGTGGCAACAGGTCATGTGGATAAGGAAAATCCCAGGACTGCATCCTATGCTTGGGAAAGGTGCACCCTCCCACCCCAGTCTCTCCCATCAGTCACTTATTAAGAGACCTATATATATACACAATGTAAGAGAAATCTCAAAAATTAAGTGTAAGTCCTGTGATTCCCACAGGGGATCAAGTGTCTGGCTGATGGTTCAGTGGCTGACTACACTCACCCAGCCCAGAGCACACCCATCCAGTGCTGTGGGCAGCACCTATGACTCAGTCTTATCAGGTCTTGTCAGCATCAACCTGCTGCAAAGAGCTGTTGGAAAAGATAATCCTGCTGAACAAAGAGCAGAAGGTCCTGGGTCACCATTACTGAGCTCTGTCACACATAAGCACAAAACTCACTGAGTTTCATGATGGTGCTACCTACTGCTGCCTTGTTTCTGAAGACCTGAAGCAAAGCTGAGCTTGATATTAATCTTCCTGACAAGATATCTCCTGCAGCTATATGTGTTGTCATTTTCTTATTGCCAGAGCCAAGAAAATCAATCACTGTGAGCAGAGCCTGGGCTGACCCGTATCCAAAAGCTTATTATGCTTGTAAAGACAGTACAGATGATATGAAAATGGCGGAGAGAGCACTGTGGGCATTCTTCCTTGTACTCCTCCAGCTGTGTTTGTGTTGCTCTAAACCTCAAGGTGTCTAATGTGCAGGTGTATTTGAGTTTACAACTTAAATTTTATCAAACAGATGCCAGATTTGTCCTCCTACATCATGTCAGCATAAATGATGCATCTGAAAGGGAATATGCTATGGTAACTTGGTTTTCCTTCTTGTTGTGCCTTTTTTTTTTTCTTCTTCTTAATAAGGCAAATATTGATAAAACCTTGTCTAAATCATCTAGTCTGAATGGGTTTACCTGAGCTGGCTGTGTGTAATGGTTGCATATCCCTTTATATTATTTATCACTAAAGAAATCCTATTGTGGAGACAATATTCAATACCTGTGTTAGATATGGCAGAGAATATTTTGTGTGAAAAGATTTTATCAAACCACTGATGTAGCTCTACCCTCCAGACATCATCAGTCTCCTCCCCACTTCTCCTCAGCATTCCCTCAGGGAAGGGGTATGAGACATGCACAACTAGTTGAAGAAGAAATTTGAGAAGTTTTTACTGTCTTGAGTAGCTCCAGGAAGGAAAAGGGGAAAGAAAGACTTTTCCTTATCTTTTCTGTGTCCGTTTTTTTTTTTTTTTTTTTTTTTGTCTTCAGGTAGCAGTGGTGCTGGTTGGAAGTTTTGGCAGAGATTTGGTTGATGTATTTTACTGCTGTATTTTACATTTGCTGTTGGGTTAGAAATAAAGAAACCAGTTCAAACAGATCTAATTAAAATAGCTGTAAAACAATGCTTTGCTTTCAGATAGAAAATTGCAGAGAAAGAATGGAGACTACATTAAAAGCAGGACATCTCCAAAGTCACTGCAACTGTGTTGGAATGGACAACTATGATGAAAGAGTTTTTTTTTTTTTTTCATGTTCTGACCTAGATCTCACTGGCCTCTTTATTCCTACATTAGAGGGAGCTCAGGATCTGGCCCTACCTCTGTCTGAGTGTGTGAAAGTAGAAACCCACAATATGTAGATGTGGGAATTGAACTGTGATGACAGCTGACTGGAAAACAAAGCACTAGCCAGTATGGTTTGGCCCCTGTGGGCAGGTATCCTGCCTCCAGGGCAGGAACACTTTTGCTTGTAGTTGTTTGCACTGGGCTCACCTAAATTGCTTGGTTTCTGAAGAGGACAAGGTGTGTGAGGCCTTTCCACAAGGCTGTGTTACTGCCAAAGCAGAATCGCTGGTGATCCTGGATAAACCTCCTGTTTATCCAGGAGGTTTTCCTGCCACTGTTGCCTTGGCCCTGCCTGTGCCAGGTGAGTTCTGGATGCTGGGGCTGCTCCTTTGGAATACAGCCCTTGCTTCATGCCTGAGCCTCGCCAGCATGCAGTAGCTTGAAACTAAGTAGCTTGATACACCCTGTTCCAGCAAATGTCAAAGTAATGATTCAAAGAGGATTCGTCAACTTTTACCTCAGATTTTGCTGTTTCTCCTCCACCTGCTACATTTTACCTGTGAATAGATACTTATTTTCAAGAACATTCTTTTGTCATCTTTTCAGCTATTGCAGGTGTATTTCTTTTTGGTCATGCTTATTTTGCTCCACATGCCCTATTCTTGTCATAAACAAACAGAAGTATTATGCAGACAGCACAATTATTTCCCAGCTGTTATCTCCTGTGGCTTTCACACTTCCCTGTGCATGGAAGTGCTTTTGTAAACTTGAATATCGAACAGGAGCTGTAGTGATAAAGGACATTGTCAGCAGTTGTGTGCCCTGTCTGCTCAGATGTCTGTGGGTGTCTTACAGACACAGAGTTTGAAGGTATTATCTCTCTTGTATGCTGCGCTCTATTCCCTTTTCAGCAAGACAGGTTAGGCAGGGAGTCCTGTGCTGCTCCAGCAGTGATGGTGCCCCCTGCTCTGCAGCTGTGTGCTTTGCAGGCATTCAGCATTGCTCTGACACAAGGACATGCTTCTTACAGTAAAGGATTTCAATAAAAAATGAATAAAGGACCCCAAAGAGCTGCAATGACTTACAGGAGAGTACTGCTGTGTGTAATACCTTCCTTGTTTTCTCTTCAAGGGTGGGGGAGAGCAGCAGCTGCCACATACCTCGTTGGCTTTGTGATCCTGGTCATCTGTTTTGCCCTTGCAGTCATCGCATTCTCCATCGAGATCCTCCGCTTCAACTTTGTGCGAGGAATTGGAGGCCTGCTCTTTGTTGTTGGTAAGGCTGGGCACAAAGACAAGGTTATTTTAGATGTGAAATGGGCATCAGCAGAAAAACATGCTAGATGGAGCCTCCCTTATGAAATTAGCTGTCTTTGTCTGGTTTATGACTCATTTTCGTGGGAAACAAGGGAAGGCTGAGTTGCGCTCTGAAAGCACAATGGGTAGGGAAGCTCCAGTGGCCTTTGTCAGTTCTCACTTTCCCAAAAGCAATTCATGGGGATGCCCAACACCTTTGACCCTTCATGTGACATGCTAAGACTTAAGAGCTGTGGGTGCTTCCCACCTTTCTGATGGGAGGAGGAGGAGCAGGGCTCTGGGAGGTAACTGGCTGGGACAGGGCTGCTCACGGCATGCAGGTATGTGCCTTAGCAACCTGTTAATGGCAGCTGAGGTGCTGCAGCAGCCACATGGGCGTGGGGATCTGCCTGGGACAGAACTCACATACCTCTGTAACAATGCAGATCTGATTGCAGGCCTGAAGCTAATCCTTACATATCTTAAGTATGCACTTATCTCCAGGTACCTTTTCTTAATGGGAACCTTAATATGTTCATTCTAACTTACTCCTGGTTTTCTTTCTTTTCTCTCCCTAGCTGCATTCCAGATCATTGGCTTGGTCATTTACCCAGTGAAATTCACAGAAGACATTCCACTGACAGGAGATAACATGTTCAGCTGGGCCTATGGTTTTGGCTGGGCCAGCACTGTTGTTGTAATAGGTTGTGCTTTCTTCTTCTGCTGCCTCCCCAACTGGGAAGATGAAGTCCTGGGAAACATCAAGCCTACCTATTACTACTCCTCCCCAGAGAGAGCACCATACTTAAATTGAAAGATTAAGTCCAAGTACAGTCAACTGTCAAAACAGAGGAGCGCCTCTGATGTACATTTGGTGTGATTGTAGAAGACTAAAAAAACTCACCTTATTTTGCCAGTGTATTTCTTACTGTGGCTGGCAATAAATTAGGAAAAACATTGGCATCTTAATCCAAATAGCTTTTTCCCAAAGTATTGTTTACATATTTTCATGTCAATTCAGTTTGGGTGGTTTGCTTGCTCCTTCCCCTCCCAATTAATTGAGTCATCCTTATTTTATTCAAATATTTTCTTATGAATATAGATGATAGTGTTTTAAGTGTAGAAAGGAAAAGGAAAAGATTTAAACAACCCATTAGTGTGTCCTGTGAGATAGGTTTTTTTTTCACCTCTGACAAAATTGCTTTGAATGGAGCTAGGAAAAAACACAGCCTTCCAATGAATGCTTTTTGTTCTGTCAAAGTCAGTCCCAAGAAAGAAACTTCTGTGATACTGTCACAGTCATCTGCTGCCTAAAAATCTTCTCATTCCTGTTACTGGGCTGTTGTTGACTACTAGCTATTTGAATTAAGGGGAAAATAAAATTAAAATTTATTTTCCACCAATTGGTGCTGTTGGACAAGGTCTCCTCCAAGGCATGGAGCTGGCGTGTGTAACATAAGAGTGGCTAATGTAACATTGGTGGGTTTGTGGCCACAGCAGGACTTGTGATGGAATCACATATGTGTGTTGTAATGGATTCAGATGCTAAACTACATACATTTTTACATGGTATATGAGGAATGCTGATTTAGAAAGTATCTTTGAGCAGAAACATAAACTATTCTATAGTCCACCTTTGTAAAGTTACAGTGTTTTAATTATCAATGTGCTTTAGAGGGAAATTTTAGTATAAGGTGTTTAAAAACCTCTAAAGGTTTCTAACACTGTAGGTACCTCAGAGTTTAGCAAACTTAGGCTGCTTTGTGAGTGAGTAGGGGTAACAGGTAGAAATAGAAAGGCAGTTCTGTGAGCAATATACGTATATTAACTTCATACGGACATCAGTGTTGGAGTAATCTGGCTGGCTCCTCATTTGTGTTTTTGCAGCCAGCAGTTCCAAATAAATATTCCAGCGAGGTGTAGCCATGTCTGTGTTGGTCATGGACCTGCAGCATCTTACAGCAGATTTAATTACAGTCTGTAATCTTTGTCAGGGCTTTGTTCAGCTGGGGAAGAAGGAAGAAGTTCATTTTTTGAACTCCTCTTCCAGCTATGGGGGAAGTAGCTTTAGCAAAGACAGACTGAGGAGGATATAGGTGGGGTGGAAAGCAAATGCTGCATGTTTCTCTGTGTTATTTCTTACTCTCATGAACCTGGTACTTAGGAGAGGGTAAGTGGCGGCTATGTGTATTCATGCACATGTACAAAATAGAACTTAGAAAGCATTAACCAACAGACTTTAAAGCTAAAGTAATTTACAACTGATCTTTTGCAATGCCCAGTATTTCTTGTATTATATGTTGTATAGCTTTCCATTTTGTAACACCTTTTTCAAATTGATAATGCTATATATTGCATGTGATCCTGATTTAGAGAGGCCAGGTGATTCCTGAAGGTCCCTTCTAGGCCTGTATTTTATAACTTTACAGAGCATAAATGTCTGCAGATTTCAGAATTGTGTTGTGAGCTCAGTTGTAGCATATACAATCAACTGTATTTATGATTCTTGCCAAATAAGAGAGTTCCGTGGCAAACGTCCTTTTAAATTTTTTTCCCTTTTCTGTACAGTACTGGCTGGTGGGGAATACTGTGTAGATTTTATCATAAGAAATGATAGTACCTACTTCTAGTGAATTCAAAAGACAGCAGAGAATCTCAAGTGGGGAAAACCCTTGCCCAACTAAAGCTGAAAAAGAGAAGAAAGTGTAAGAAAATGGACACCTTTCCTAATGACAGGGAAGATGGTATGGTTATATGGTAATCAGGATTAGCATAATTTAAGTCTTTTGTATGCTTTTTTTATAAGCATTGGCATAACTTGTCAGAAGAGGACTAATGTAAAATAAACTTGGCTCTGAATGTACTGGGAGGGGTAGAAGCATAACCAGCATGTTACACAACTGCAATGTTCCACAGAAAGCTATTACAAAAAGTTATTAATTACTTTCAAGTGATATTAATGTATGTGAGACTCGTTTCGAATGTGGTGGCTTAATTAAAAATGTTTTAACTGACAGTTGTAGAAACTTGGTGATGTTTGTGGTTCATGGATTAATTTCATAAAATCAAACAAATAAGCCATTCTTTTCTTCTCTTAACTTGAATATCCAGTGTCAGGTTAATAAAATGAAGTTAAAGACCTCATGTCCAGGAGGCAGCAACTTCATTTTCCAGTCAAATAAGCTTCAGAATACACTGCAAAACATGTCAGTGCTCTTTCATTGAAGTGCCAGGTATAGAATGTTCTTTCCTAAGCCAAAACTTCTTAAGTGCATCACAGATAAGGGGGAACTCTAAACATTTTAAATACACAACAGTCTACAGGAGGCCTCGTGTGTGGGAAGCCTGTTCTTTATCAAAAATGTTCCAAGTGTCTTTCCTACAATGATCAAGAAATTTAAACAGTGAAAAAAGGTGGTGTACTAGCCTGCTATTTTCAGTGGAAGGCTGCACTTCTCCCATGGTTAGAAACCTTCCCACTTCTAACCTCAGTTTATGCATGGCCCATATTATAACCCTGTCCTAGTGATGTTTTTTAAAGAGAGCAAATCAGTCAGTCACTGCTGTCTGACACCAGCCTGTGGCTTCTGATTTCTGCAAAACAGGTTCATCATTCTCCTTTTTTTATTTTTTTTTAATCGATGCTCTTCCCTTTTTTTTTTTTAAATCTATCCTCTTCACTAAATGTCTTAATTTTAAAATTCATTTACTACCCTGGATTCTCGTGCCTTCCCTGTGTTTCTTTTTGGGTTTTGGTTCCACATCTCCCCATTTTTAATTACTTCTAATTTTAAATAAACAAACAGGAAAAATATTTTGGTTTCTTTTAGATTTTCCTAAATGCTCTCAAGATAATTGCAAGGTTTCTATAATGCCTTTCTTTCAACAGGAAGAAAACTTGTACTCCTGTTTATCTACCAGTCTGTATTAAGCTGCAACCTAAATCCTTGCTCACTAAAATCACCTGAGTGAGCTTCAGGCTGCAGGGTTGCTCCTTCTAATTCGCTTTGTGAGAAGAGAGAGCAGTTCAGGGGAATCTGAGCACACTTGGCCCTTGTCCTAGGAGCAGTTATGAGCAATCAAAAATGTGCATGACTGAGTGCTAGGGAAGACTAATTGATCTGAATGGGATGATTAATGCTTAAATCTCATGGATATGGGAAACAGCTGCCACACCCCGCTGGGATTTCATATTTTTAGCTGATGTAACAAGTGACTAATTTTTTAGACAATCCATTGACAAGACAGAATTCTAAAAGATTATTCACCTGACCTTTACATCCTGCACACAAAGGCTTTTGGATGTAGAATGCATACATAAATCAAGGGAGTGTAGTAACAGATCGTTAGGGAGGGGGGAGGATTGTTATGGTGATAAGCACTCCAGAAACAAAAACAACCACATATTAAGAGAAGATGTTGCACACACACACAAACAAACACAGTTGCTGAGGTCATTGAGCACTTACAAACTAATGATGAACCAAGAGCACATATCTATGGAAACCAAAATGCTCCAGGAGATGCACAACATTTGAGAGCTGAAGTACTGGTCCCACAGCTCAGAGCAGCAGGGGTTCCTGGCAATACGGAACAGCACCCTGAAAAAAAAAGGTTAATCTGTGCCAGTAGGTGAAATTGCACAGGTCTTTAAATGGACTTGGGACATAATACTCACAACCAGAATAAAGTTTAATCAAATCTGGAGGAGGCATTTGTCAAAAATAGGGATGCTGAATTTCTAAATTTGATTCCTGTAACAGGCGTCAGTACAGAAGTAGTGAAATCCATGTGTAGTGGGTTCACAGAACCTGGTAAATGCCAGTGATACTGCACAGGTGCAGTAGTTTATATGCACAGATCCCATGTCCTGCATGTGTGCTGTGTATTTATGAGATAATTCCAATGACTCCATGATGCAGGTCTGCAGTGGTACAGTAAGCAGCCTTTTGTCTGGGATTCCCTGGTGTCCTAAGGTGTGTGCAAAGCTGCACCACCTATGAAGCTTGACATCTAGAAATTGCAGGCAAAAATACAATGTCCTCAAATTTGGCCTATGCAAATTACATTTAAATTACTTGAGAATTGTTAGAATAATCCAAAGGATTTTTTCATTGGGATTTTTGAATGCACAAATTTAATAAGGCTGTATTTATAATAAAGACTGTAGAAGAGCACACAGAAATGCCTGGAGCTTTATAATATAAATATTACAGCTATAAACAAGATAAATAATAATTTGTGATAACAACTATGCATTACATAACATAATTAATACATAGAAATAAATTCTATTCCTCACAGGTCCATCTTTGCAGGGTTGAATAATGTGAGGAGAGCTGGTATGGCTGCTGCTTTTTGTTTATTCATGGGAATGGAGACAATATATGCTATTTTTCACAGAGTTTTCACGAATATAGAATAATTTATAAGCATCAAAGTTTGCTAAAAGTCAAGTTGATACCTTGGAAATCAGTGTTCTCTGAGGTTGAGAGGGCCCAGAAAGGTCTGGAGTGAGCATTCAGATGAAACTGAACATAAAAGCCAGGCAGGTCCTGTCCTACAGTGTGCTGCCCTGGGAAATGATCATGGGTTGAAGTAGGCTGGTTTGATGGTCACAGTCCTGAATACACATGGAGGCAGGAGCAGGAGCTGACCAGTGGCCATTACAGTCCCTTTTCAGGAAATAGTCTATTTTTAAGCTCTCTTTGGAGATGATTTAAGCAAACCCTTACAACACGAAATAAGCAGAACTTATAGAGAAAAAAATAATTTAGGTGAATTTTTATACATGAAAAATAATTTCTGATTTGAAATAGAAATACAAAACAATGCACAAAACAAAACCTGGGAAAATCATAATTGGCATTTGGTAATAAGACAATAAGTTGAAAATGTTGCTAGGATACTTCTGTTTTAATTTTAGCCCTCTTGTCAAATCAATTTCACATCAAACATTTAAAACTGAAGACATCATTTCCATGTAACACATTAGTTTCAGCAAAATCCTTCTTTTGGCTGAAGAATCCCAAAGTGAAAATTTGCTGGCTGAAACCCCTTAAGACATGCTTAGCATGCATGTCCTATCTGTAAATCTCAGAGTGTTTAAACAAGTAGCTATTCCCAGCTGACCCATAAGGCAGAGCAGATAAAAGCCATTTCTTTGACAGAGAACTGTAAGTAGCAAGGCTGTGGCACCAGGGAATTCTCTAAGTGAAACTGATTTTATTCCTCTCCTAAGGCAACTGTGCTTTATGCTTTACAAGGAGTTATTGTTATGATCCACCACAACAGCACAAGGATTTAGTTAGCTTACCTATGCCACAGAGAAGTTCTGGAGCCCAAAGAAAGTAGCTTTAGTAAAATTATCCCATATGCAGAACAGGACTGTGCTGTACCACTCCAACTGCTTACCCATGGGTTCATAAAATCCCTGTACACAATGTGCTATGATTCTTTCATTCTATGATTCTGTGTACTCACCAGAGAGCTTGTGCTCCTGACAGCCACTCAAGGAAAATACAGTCACTCACAATGGTTACAAGTGTCCAGAGGCCATCTCAGCTCCTCACTGATTAGCTGGTTTACAGGACACCCTTGATTTCAGACTTTTGCCTGGAGAAGGGGGAATTGACTGAACTGATTAAACTTCTACAGAGCCTCTGTAGGAAATTCCAGGGGATTAAACCTTGTTTCACCCTATAACTTATCGTGTCCTTGAGCAAAAACTAGTTGACAATTAAATCCATGCTCAGGCACACAGAGTCTTTGTACTTTCCTAATCTTGTGTTCTCCTTATTTCTGTTTTCCCAATACAGTCTCAACTTACTCACATAAATTACAGTCCTGGATGCCACCCCATGTTTGCATTTCAGGTGTTAGCACTTATTGGTTTGCACATGTAGCCTTGCTAAGGAGAGGAAGAAAGGCCTTTTAAGCCTAAGCCTTTGTCCTGTCCAGGCAAGCCTGCTTTACTGACAAGAACCACACAGTGCTGCATGTGGGGCAGGCTTCAGAGGCCCTGCAGCAAGCTGGTCTTGGATGCCTCTTGCTAAAACCTTAACAAAACCCTGTGGGAATTCTCCTCTGAGCTCAGCAGTTGGTGAAGAGAGGAAGTATCCGACATCTGCAGAGCTTTGCTGTGCTGTGTGTGACAGATAGAGGAAAGCTTTCCCGAGTGCACCGCAGCAGGACTGAGCACCCACCATTCTCCAGGCCATCATAAGCATCGTGGAGCAGTCACAGTGCCTGGCCACCTCAGGAGAGCTCCTCAGAAAGGGTTGGTGTAGCAGAACTGCAAGATCTCAACTGTGCGCATTTCTGCAGAAGGGTGTTTTTATTTTGCAAAGATATAAAGTCAGGTCTTGTTCAGAATGTATTTCTACGTGATGATTTCTACAATGATGTCTACAGGTCTCTTTCTACCTGTCCTTGCTGTGGATGAAATATTAGTCACATGGAGAACACTATTGCCTTACTGCCCAGGGAGTGACCAAAAGGTACAATTTGTCTGACTGAGTTGCATCATTGTTTGGGCTGTGGTTGTAACAATAACTGCAGTGCAGCCCTTTCCAAAGGGAAACAGTAGACTGGCATTACCGGCAAAAGAGAAGGACCTATGGTTGTAAATAGATTAATAAAGATAGTAGTAACAGTTATGAAATTTATGCTCAGAGTGACTTGTTAGATGTAAGATAGCAAACAAGAGAACAGATCATAAAACAATTTTAGCAAAGCTTTTAAAATTCAAACTCCGGGGACTCTTTGTTTATAAGCAGTGTGACTATAAGAGAATGAAAATGTGCTTGCTGCAAAAGTCATGATCATGCACCACAGCCAGTCAGTTCATGTCAATCCGGTCATTTATACAGCTTAGCTGACCAGTCAGAGACTAAAGGTGAACGAAAATACACTGCCAATGATTTGTTAGCTTCTTCTTCCACTTTTCTTCCAAGAAAACCGTTTGTGTCTTGGCCAAAAAACGGCATATTTTTATTTCTAACTCTAATGCTGTAGAGTTGTTTGCTTTATCAATATCCTCCTGCTTACCTGGTTACCTCAAGTAATAATGAAGATTCATTAGCAATATTTTTAGGTGAAGAAAGTGCACAACAATCTAAAAGTTTTAACATTGATAATACATCTTCATTTTTGACAGATGATGTTGGTGTTAACCAGGAGATTCTATCCACAGATAATGGAGAAGGAGAACAAGCATTTGCTTTCATGTAAACACAGCTTATACATTGTAAAAGATGAAGCATGGTGAAGGCTAGTTATCATTTCACTTAAAGTTTCCAATTATTTTCCCCTGTTTGCCATAAAAGTATCAGAATTATGTGAGATAGATACAAAATTTTGTTACCTTTGGATGTATGTCCCTCTCTACTGTTCAAGATATCTCAAATTACCCTTTAACTGAATGTGAAGATTGCTTGTAATTCTGAGTTGCTTAAGGGTGACAAAGGTGTGCAAGACACAGACACATTTGTAGTGACTGAACACTACTCACCTTTCTTTCACAACATGATAATGTTCTCTGTGGTATCACCTTGCAAATGCTAACATTTGTGACGGCATGCATCCATCCACAGGTGAGCTGTAATGGAAACTGATGACAAATCCTTCAGTAAGTGCCTAGCTGGCACCTGTGGGTAGCACAAATGTGGGCTACAATGGAAGATACATTCAATTCTATGGAAATGGTTGTTCTGTAAAGTTTACTTTACAGGAAAAAAAAACAAACAACAATGAGATTGTCCCTTATTTCCACCTCAAACCAGAAGCTGAGGTGTCTTCATAGTTGGCTGTAGCTTTCAGCAACATTCAAATTCAATGGTCAAAACAGTAAAAATATCTCCTGCTCTCCCAGAGGCCTGTTGGATACCCCTGATGGATCTCTCACAGCCACAGGGATATTGAACTGTCTGTGCCACAGGAAAGCTGCTGGCAGGATGCTTCAGCTGGCCAGAATGAGAGATAAGGCAGCGACACCACTGCTAATCTACCAGCAGGCAAATAAGGTATCTGATAGAGATAAGGCATGGTGTCAAATTTACTTCTTCAAATCTAATTCCTCAAGGAGTTACTGCTTCACTGTGCTGCAGCTCATTGGTGTGGATGTTCCAGTTTGGTTTAAGCTCAATACCCTTTCAGGCACAGTGTATCAGTGCAATGTAAATTATTAATTTCCTTTATTTAGGCCATTATTGATTCATGAGTATTAATTCAGAAAAGTGCTGTGCCATTCACAAACAGTTCATAGCTGTCACATTGCACCATGAGAGCAGCAATACCATAACAAATTCCTTTGAGCAAACGAGGTCAGTACTTGGATGCAGCCCTACCTGACAAAATTCACCATGGGAGCAAAGGATACTTTGCATCCTCTGGGCTTAACTGTGTTTCACACAAACCAGCTTTGATTAAGGGCTGCAGCTGCTTCCAGACATAAATGTAATTGGGCTCTAGCAAAATATCAGGCTGTAGCACGTGTTAGTTCAAAGGGAGAGTGCGGGGAGCACGGCAATATCGCTTCTGAGCCGACACACAGGAAGCTCTGCCCCGCACTCGCCTGGGTGTCCTCCCAGGGCACAGAGAGGTGATGGCTCATCCCTGCCTCGCACTCCCGGCAGCTGCAGACAGGCTCTGACAGGCCCCAGGCAGTGCTTGTACAGCCAGATCCACACTCTTGGAGGGTCTGTCAGTTGAGGCTCAGTCAAATCACAATTCAGCTTTTGTTCTCCCATAAGGGTATATCCAGATCATACTATAGTTTTCTGTTCCTCTGTACCTATGCTCCAGAAGGGGAAGGGCCAACAGTGACATTCTTTATTGCCTTAACTTTATAACAGCTATGGGAATTTCTTTAATGCTCATAAATAAGGTAAAAAAATAAGGTATTATTTTATTTTTAAATGGAGACCTAGAAAGGCTCACAGCCTCCAGGTGGCAACTCTCAGAAACCTCCACCACGTAGTACAAACAGTTCCCTCTCGTCTCTGCTTTCTCCTGCCATAATGCAAATCCCTTAGAAGATGGAAAGGTGTAATCACAGCAGCTGGTGGGGATGTCAGGAAGGAAAGTGTTAAATGCTGAGGGTAAACATCTCCTGATTCGTTACCTAGTCAGCAGGGCAGAGAAGATCTCACAGATAAACCCAGCCTCGAAGCTTCTCCCCAGCTCAACTGGTTATTGCTCAGTGGCAGCTCTTACTCATCTGAATCTAGGTGGAGCTCCTTCCCTCCCTCTATCCCTCCCTCCCTCCCTCTCTGCTGTGTCTGTCCTGGCTGAAAAGCCTTTCCCCAACATCTGCCCAGGCGTTCTCAGGTGCCGGCAGCGCCTTTCCAGGAGCTGAGCAGAGGCGGCCATCGCTCCCAGCCTGAGGCAGAGAGGCCTTGTCCCGCCAGCGCCTGCCCCCAGCCATGGTGAAGTACGGCCTGGACTACACGCGCTGCAGATGGATCCTGCCCCTGCTCCTGGGCATCGGGGTCATCTTCGGCATCATCGCTCTGGCGGGCTGGGGGTGGCTGGAGTCGCAGACCCTGCCCTACGTGCTGCAAGCGTCGCTCTGGCAGATCTGCAGGAGGGGTGACCAGGGTGGGGAATGGAGCTGCGAGTCCCTCATGGGCTACGGTAAGCGCCGACAGGGGTGGCGGGGAGCAGGCTCTGAAGCAGAGGGTCACATCCCCCGGGTCACATCCCCCAGATCACATCCCCCAGGTCACCTTCCCACAGGTCTCCTAAATGTATCACCCAATACCTGGCATTTATATATGAAGCCACAGGCAATAGAGACTGTCGCTGAGTACACCGAGGCTTTTGACTAACCAGGTGAAGAAATAAAATGTCCTCACACCCCTGTGCAGAAAAGAGCCTAGCGCATTACATAATACATGAAAACCCACGCATGGTATGGTACGGGTGCAAAAAATAATACAGGATTTTTTCCTCTCTCAGAAGAACCTGGTAACTCTTCTCACTAATCACTGCTTCTCAAAACTTAACGGCTACCAGTGATCAAACATCCAAACAACAAGCTGTGTGGGGAAGCCTGGCATTAGTGTGACAAGCAGGTCTGAGTGCCAGAAACAGGGAGGTAAAAATGTAAGATGGCAGCAAGATATTCCCAGGGAGTGTCAGGCTGCAGAATGCTGCCCTGAAACTGCTCCGGTAGGTGGGTCGTGTGAAAGAGTTGCCTTGTGATTATGAAAGAAAGCTTTAAAAGATGAAAGGATTTTGTGTTCATACTAAGTTTTGGTGAAGCATGCTATTAAACATGTTGACCTGGGTGCAATCTTCAGCTTGAAAAGATGTAAACCACAACTGTGGGAGAATAGCCCAAGAGAAGGGTCACTCTGGATGTGCTCTGTTTCTTTTTTATATTTCTTTTTTTCTTTCTGTATATTTGCTATTGGCCATGGTTTGAAACAAGTAATAATGAATGAAGGGTTGTTAGCTTGAACTGGAATGGAAGTTCAAGAGGTCTTAAAATATATGCTCATTCAAATTACAAGGAAGAACCTTTTCTCTAGGGCTCAGAATCTCAGCTCTTCTTGTTAAAAATAAGAGTAAAATCTCTTGCTGAAGCAATCTCAGGGATCTTTTATTACAGCACTTCAAAATTGTATGTCATGAAACTCTACCTTCTATGCACAAAATTCAGCCGTAATGAGTTAATTGCAGCAGGCC